AAAAAAAAAAAAGGTCCCATGTAGCATCCAGCCTGCAGGGGGTTGGGGCCATCAGCAGATCCATCTGCAAAATCTGCCTGCCCAGCCTACCCCCGCCGCTGCATGAGATGGGACCGCAGTAAAGGAGCGAGTCCAAACAGCACTCTCTGTTTTGTCTTAGCCAACAGCAGCTCTGGAGGTTGTTGGAAGAAAGGGAGACTTCAGATGTTCAGTGAGACATTAGAAAAGGACGTCGATCAGATTTACAGCGTAAGAAAATGTCTGTATCCCTGATTTGCAATATTTACAGCTCAAAGGATACATCTGTCAGCCCAGGGAAAACCAGATGTTAAATAGAGATCTCGCTGAGATAAGATATCTCAGCAGATACAAATATAAAAGAAGCTGTATCTAAATTCTATGTAGTTTTGAATGACGTTGCTGAAGAGCGTGAACTGCATAGGAAGAAGAAATGGAAAAGCAACGATGAGGGGGAAAATAATAGAGATACATGACAATGGAGATGAGGTTGGATTCTGGTTTTATGCAGGACCTGGTTCAAATAGAATCTGCTTGTGAAGTGGGCTTGCTCCAACAAGCGTTGTTTGCTTTTCTCTGAAGAACCAACAACATGCAAAACGCAACAGATGAACAGTCCTGGGGGGCAGAGGTGGGTAGTTCGACGGCAAACCGCGGGAGAGGAAGGATTGCGGTGACCACAAGAGGAAGACAAACTGTGGTCTCATCAAACAACAGAAGAATCAAGTGTCAGTGGATAAATATACAGCGATTGTGTCGAACTATTTCAGGCAAATGCTGCAGCCTGGAGTGAATCTCAAGCGTTTGCCTTCATGAAAATTAGCAAGTGCTGATTAGATTTCCCTCCCTGTGCTGGAATACCAAATCCCTTGCCGGGTGCCTCGTTGGGGGCTGTACGTAGTTACGGTTTTCAGGAACTGCTCCTTTCTGCGCTTCCTGAGCCTTTGCAACACGAATCCCACGCTGTGCCCCCAGTGCCAGCACACGTTTCACCCTCCAGGCTGCACTTGCTGAGATTTAGATTTCAGCTGCACCTAAGGAACAACAGCTTCTTTGTAATCTCATCTGGAGATGCACTAGAGGCACCGTGTTCAGCATCTGTTTGAACGCTGCCCTGTCTTTATCACGACAATCGTAATTGATGTTTGAAGGGATTTAAATAGCAAACGCAGGTGATTTTAATCTCCCTTTGCGTCTTACCTTGCTCTTCCCTTGGCGTAGGTTTAGCAGCCCAGACACGCGCTTCACCGCTTCAGAGCGTGGCCGTAGTTCAGTAGTTGAGGAGTGACAGCTATATTCCTCGTTAATTTTTGTCACCACAAGGAAATGACAAGGCAACCATCAAGCGCTGGGGTTCGGTGGGGCCAGACCCAAGCCCAGCTCTGCCTCTGTCCCACGCTGCAAGGAGAGGGGCCCTGGGGCCACGCGCGGTGCGTGGTCGGGAGGGATCAGCATCGCCAGGGCACGCGGCCAAGCTAGGAGGACAGAGAGACCCAGACCAGCAACACTCCGTGTCACGAGTTCCATTTGGGGTGGCAGGTCGGGCTGGCGGAGTCATGAGGATGGAGCTGGGTCCTGGTTTTGCAGCCGCCTGTGACAAACGCTGGAGCATAAGTCACTGCCTGTACTGGAGAGCGACCACCTGGTGGCATTTTGCATTTTTAATGAAATAAGTACAAGTCCCATCTCTGCCTACGATACAAGGAACAGTGAAATATGATCCAGGCTAATGAGGCTGGAATTAACTGCATTTTAATTAAAGGCTTGTCTGTTTCCTAATAAGCTAATGGGAATAACTCAGAAACGGGGAGTAAAGCAACAATCCCAGGTCAGCAGCCAGCTAGACTGGCACACACGGTTTGTTCAATGCTTTCCTAGACTGGAGCATTCTCGTATTATTCCTCACGTGGCAGAAGCATAAAACGATGAGAAAAATCAGAGAATGAATGCACAAGGCCCATTTCTGCAGGACTGCAGAGGCTGCAGGTACTCCTGCAGCGAGTCCACAAGCCTGGCAGGGCTCTGCGTTTACCAAAATGCAAGTTATTCCTTCTCTTTTATTGCCCTGAATTCACTGAGATATTTTCTGGAGGCTAAGGTGTTTTGTTTTGTTTTTTTTCTCTGCAGAAAAGGGTCGTCCCTTTGTAATCCTATTCCAAAAAAACTTGCCTTTTCACCTATTCAGCTTCCCAGTATTTTGCAAAGCCTTTTTTCCTGAGCTGTCTGTATTCATTTGACCTTTGCACGCTACAACATCTGTTTCCTTATCTGCTTGGCTGTCGGGCTTCTTGGGTTTCTTTTGTGAGCTTGTCCGGGAGATAGTATAAGCACAGCTAGCAAAAAAAGAGGGGGAAAAAAAATCACAAAAAAAAATGAGGTAGGGTAGAGCCATAAAACATGGTGATGGATTTTAAATATCCCCAAACCTTTTTCTGATGCTCTTAAGTATTCAGTTTAAGCTTCCTTTTATTATTCACAGGCACATGAAGGGGACTAGCAGGAATTAACCAAACTACAAATGTTCCAGAAACCAAAGACTAGATCAGTCTCATGAAGCTGAAAAGGAAGAAATTATTTTACATCATTACATCGTAATTACAGCTGTAGGTACCAGGGCAATACAAACCTGCTTGATTTTCAGGTATCTGAGAAGCTCCGGAGAGGGTAACAGGACTGACCACATTTTTGACCTTAAGCACGTGCCTGCCAAGTCACAAAATCAGGGCCAAAAAGGCAGAAAAAAAGCTTCAAAGGTTCGTACTGTCACAAAGCCCACTGCTAGCTGTAGAGATGTTCCTAACGTACAAGTCAGTGTAATTAAAAAAGAACAAAACCCCAAGAATGCATTTTTTTAGGTTCAGATTTCCAGAGCGCAACGGTGAAGGAGCCAAAACCAGAAAACGTCCCAGGGCGTGGTCTGACAAGGGAAGGAAATAACGCAGCGAGAAAGGGCTGATGTGGAAAACCCATCTCATGGTATCAGCTCTCGGCACCACGCCTCTGGGGACCCATCACCCTTTTCCGCACCATTCCTAGATGGCAAGGCGCTGCAGGGACACCGTGTCCGTGCTCAGGAGCACCAAACCCGAGCGCTCAGCCTCCGTGGAGCCGGCGCTGAGCTGCCTGCGCATCTTCTGAGTCATCCGCCCCCCCCCCCCCCCCGGTTCCCTTGGCGAAGGGAGCCGTGGGTACCGTTAGAGAAGCTCCAATGCCAGGAGAACATGTTGTATCGTGTACTTCCACCAGCATAATTCCGATTCCAGAATCTCAACCTGCTGCTAATTAATTAAATATAATCAGGAGCACGTTAGCGGTTGCGGAAGGGACTCACCGGGTGGCACATGCTGCGTGAGCACGGGCAGGGTGCTGCCTCCAGCCCCCTCCCAGCATCCCCGCTGAATGGAGCTCCTGCCCTCAGCATTGCTTGGTTCACGGTTTTTTGTTTTATTTTCCCGTTTCATCCTGTTTCTGGCAGAAAGCACAAAGAGCAGATCCTCTGCGCATCGGGAGGGGATGGGGACTGAGCTGATTTTGGACAGGAAGCTCTTCCAAGTGGGACCAAGGTGCCACAGGGGATCTCTCACCCCCTCCGTGATGTCTCTGGGTGCTGCACCCTGAATCAGAGCTTCCACAGCAGCACCCGTTCCT